AAAGAACATTAACTAAAGGTATGAGTTGCAAAGAGATCTATTGAGTTCAGCCAATTTGATCATGAAAAGGCTAGACAAATCAAAGTTTCGAATATCAAAGTGCTTCATACTTTTACTAGAGGATGGGTGAAAGATAGTATAGATGGAAATTGATTACTTTTGGTATAATGAGTAAGGAATTAATAAGAATTTTGGTTCGCAACAAAGAGTGCATACAGAGAATTGTTATGACCTTATCAAGGATGGAATGAGAAAAGATCAACATGATTCTAAAGTTGAGTTAAGTGGAGTTACGGGGGCGTAACTCGTTTTACTTAAGGGGGGTAGAGTACGATAGAATTACGCGCTTTTTCCTTAATTTTGGCATTTTAAAGTGCTTTTTCGTCAGTTTTACACTGATTTAGTTGATAAGTTTGATTATTTTACACACTAAGATGTGTAAGTTTATTACCAAAGTTGATTCTTACACTAATGCTAGTGTGAGTTTGTTAGATAGTCTAATAGTTTACACATTATTTTGTGTAAGTTTGTTAGTAAAGTTGTTATCTTACACATTATTTTGTGTAAGTGGGTCAGCAAGTTGGTTACTTTACATACTAGTTTGTGTGTGAATGAATAGATGAGGTAGAAAGGAAGTATCACAAAAGTACAACAACTAAAAGTATTAAGAAAAGTTTTTGAGATTTTAAGTATTTATTTGCCTTTAAACGAGTTTTTAAAGTTTTCGTACCTAAGTTTCGAGGACGAAACTTCTTTTACGGGGGGTAGAATGTAATACCCCGTATTTTTATGTATTTTTATAAAGTATTTAAGTATTAATAAAATGTATTGTCAAGGGCTTAATTAAATATTTTAAAGGGTTAAAGCATTTTAAATATAAAGTTTTATAAAAGTAAAATAAGTTTTGGGCCAAACGTTTATTAATTATTGGGCAATGTAAATTATTCCTACATACTCTTATTGGAATAACCCATTCCAAAACCTATAACTTAAGCCCTATCTCATAACTCAAGCCCACATTTTTATAAGCCCTTATTTAACCCTACACTCTCTACTCTATAAATACCCCATGAATCCCCAAAAATTTCCCACACAAAAAAGGTTAGTCTTATTTTCTCTCTCCTTTGTTTTATTAATTTGTGTAATTATAATTATTGATTTATGGGTTTTGATTTTATTGTTTGAAATTAATTTAATTAGTATCAAATTGTATTTTGATGATTAAACTTTATAATTTTCAGATTTTGTAAATTTTATAACCTAGGGTTTTTAATTATTGAAAATCATGATTTTAGGGTTTTAATGAATAATTGATTTAGGGCTTTTATAGTAATGATGTTTTGAAATTTTGGTGATTATAACTACTTATTAGTTTAACTTAATTCCAGATTATTTTGAACACGTAAATTCATGTTTTAATTATTAGATTTCCGTTCGTTAATATTAATCCCGTTTTAATCCCGATCAGGTTCGGAACTCCTCCGATTTAGATAAAAAAAGTAGTGTTTTTCGTGTGGAAACAACGTTTTAAGATTAATGGTGTTGGTGATTAACCATAACTTAATCCCGTTTTAACTTAATGTTTTTCGTGTGGAAACAACGTTTTAAGAACATACTCTCGTGGCCAAATTCAGCCTCTAAATATGATTTTCGGGCATTTTTTTATTTTTAACGAAGTTTTTTTTTTATGCTTTGAATTTTATCCTTGAGTTTAAAAGGGGTAAGAGACAATTTAATGTTTCTATGGATAATTTAAGTATAAAGAAGTATTTTGATGAAGTTTTAAAGGGTTTTTTATTAGTTTAAAATGTTGAAATTTTATTTAAAGTAGTATAATTGTGATTTTTAATAAAAGGGTGTGATTATCCATTAAAAAGGAGTTTAATTAGGGGTTTTTAAATAAGTTTCAGATTATTTTAAGTATTCTAAAGTAAATTTAAGTTGCTGGAAATTTTGAATACAAGGAGAATTAATATAGTATTATTGTCCCTTTATGTAGGAGACTTAATTCGGGAATTGTTGTAGTGTAATCGGCTACTTTAAGGGCTCATTTGAGGTACGTTCGCGTACTTAGCATATTTTGATGATGTAGAATCATGCTAGGATTGATTTCAATCAATTACAAGTAGTATCATGCTAAGGTTTATGTATGGAATTGTGAATTAATGGTGTTGGTGATTGAATTGTGAAGCACGAATTATTTGTGATGGTTTATGGATTGGAAAATTATATTTTGGGCATGTCGTGTTTGAACCACACTTTTATTTATGGCATGTTAGAATTCATGATTAATTAAACTACATGTTTAATTATGTTAGGAATATTGAAAAGGAATTTTATTATGGTTCAAATAATTTTTATTGATGCTTTAAGCATGAGGAAGGAGCTATATAAGTGTCTATGTACACGAGGAATAAATTGTATGTTGGTGCCTTTGTGCACTTAAGGTGTTTTTAACACCGAGGGATATGATTTTTGGCGCTTTATGCGTTTAAGGTGTCTTTGACACTGAGGTAGAATTTAAAAGAGGTTCGACATTATATTAAATAATATGTGGTCACTAATTATTCAAGAATTAAATTGGTATGTTTGGTTGATTGAATAATTATTGTTGATTGATTTATTATTCTTTGAGAGTCATCACCAAGTCCAATAACATGTAAATAACGTAAAGTGAAAGAGATTACGCACCAAAAGTCTTGGAACGTATATACCTTGAGTATGAACAATGGGGGGAGTTATGGGGTTTTATATTTAATTTAACCATAACTTCTAATGGAGTACAGGACGTTGTACATTCCTTTTTATTTATTATTATGCGCAGGAATTCCGCCACCTTTGAGTGGTTTTGTCGCTAGCACGATTAGCTCCCGTGTCAGTTAACCTCAATTTATTTGGGGGAGGGATAGTTGGAAACCCGTTCGATGCGTAATCAACGCTAAATAAATTATTTAGTGTCTAGTTAAAGAATCTTGTTGAATGTGGTGTGTGCTTGTTCACAGGTGCATTGAGGTAAGGGTGTGTTGGTAGCTGAAAGCATGTTAGTGTATTTATTTACGCTTATGTACTCAGCTTTGCTGATTGTGTGTGTTTGTGTGTTTTGGCCTTGTCTTTACTTTGGCCCTACGACGACCCATTTTCTAATGGCGAGTAGTGGGGACAAATAGAGAGGAGGTTTTCAGGTGATGAAGCATATTCATGATGGACATGAGTGAAAGAGCGAATCATGCTTAGTTTCCATAGGAATATGATGTGATTTATTGCTTTATTGATTATATTATTATTATACTTGTGAGACTAACGCAAAGGTTTTCACGTTTCATTTGGTTTTGTTAAGGGCCTACAATTGTTCCAAGTTGTAGGTTGTTTTTGTTTGACTTTACTTTTGTTTGGTTTGTTTTGTTTTGGATGGTTTTAAGGATAGTTTTCCGCTGTGCATCTTTGATAATTGCCTTAGCCGTTTTCACGGTGGCGGTAATATCTTAGATATTCCTATTTAAATTTTTAAACATGGCAAAACAAGTATTTTAAAAGAAAGGAATTTCTAGGATGTTACAGTTAATTAGTAAATTCACTTAGTTTTTGAGATCTTTTTATTGCTACAGTGGTATTTTTAGTATACCATTATACTTACAGTGAAACTTTTAATGTACTACTAGAATATAAACAATTTTACTAGTGTACTATTATAGCTATTATAGGTAACAATGGTACAAATATTGAACCACTAGGAAAAAAATATTCACCACTCTTTTGTCGTATAGCTACTATTTACTTGGCACGTAAATAGCAGCTATGCGTCAATACTTAACAAGTAATTTTCAAAATGACATTAATACGCGGTAATATTTGACAAATTTAACTTTTTTTTTAATGTTTGAGACATGCAAGGTAGCATGTACTGTGAAGTCTCCATCTGTTTCATACCCACCCCATCCCCCACTGTCACGGCTCTCCCGTTGTACAAGTCTCACCCCATCCCCCAATCAATCTACAACTTTCAAAGGCAGACCCTACTAAGCTGATCAATCTAGCACAAAAAACCAAGTACCCAAGAAGCAAAATAGATCAAGCAATCAAATTTCACAATTCAAGTCAATAATCTAACAAATCAAAAATCATCAAAAACTCGAAATTAATGAAACCAGAAAAGTTTATACCTTTGTCATAAAAATATAATCCAAAAGGAGGTTCATCTTGAATTATTACCAGGACCAACAGTAAGAGGCCAATGATAAGAAACCACTGAAGCATACTTGATCCCTGACTGCACCATCATTCCATTCCCACCATTACTAAACTGAATATAATTATAATGATTATTACTATAATTATGATTATGATTTTGATTATTCTAATTCTGCTCAAACCCATTATCATTCCCATCATCAAAATTCTGGTGGGAGGGAAGAGAGAGTATAGTGGTACCGGAGGTTGGTGGCAGCGTTTGTTAGCAACTAAAGGTCTATTCTCATAGGCTAAACTCAGCTGAACTAAACTAAACTGAACTGAAATGAATATTTTACAAGAAAAGGAAATTAGGAGCTGAACTGAACTGAAATGAAATAAACGTATGAGAAAAGGCCCTAAGGTGTTGTGGGATTTGTCAAGGGAAGTGCTTGTGAGGACTCAGGAGAGAACAAGTGATGGACATGGTGGTGTTGGTGATTTCAAGTATTAATCAAGGGAATTCATAATTTCATATTAATTGGATTAGTTTTAGTACTTAAATATGTTTATGAGAGTGAGGAATAATTCAAGTGGTTAGAGCTCCCTTCCTCTTCCAAGAGATCTTGGGATCGATTAACATGCTGGATTCTAGAGTGTGATCAAATGTGTTTTCAAGTCCATGCATGTATCTAATTCTAATTTCTGTCCATCGGCTACAACAGTCCTGTGTATGTAAGAGTATGTGATCAAATTAAATGGGGTGTTACTTCATTTCTGCAATATGTGAATGTACAGTAAAATGCCAATTGAAATTGTAATCGAGAGTTATGTTCAAGAAGCAATATTTTTTACCCAATAGAATGTACAGCCTCTACGGGCTAAGGTTAATTCATTAACATCATACAACATTTTTTATGTTCAAGAAGCTGGTGAAGTATATAAACAATGCTTAGACTGCCATAAGTTATGTTTTCAATAAAAATTTAAGGTAGCACCATTTATCTTCATTACTCCGTACCCCATACCAAGGCTTTACACTCTCAAACCCTAATTTGGAAACACTAAATCTACTACCACTACTCACAGATTTCCCAACATAATTTGTTAGTACTACTGCAGATAACTAAACAGCAGCAGCAACATGGGTAAAGCTATCTACACGACACGCACAAAAATTGAACATTTTGAGTGAATCAACTTTCTTGGTACACAAATACAAATGGAACAAAAGAAATTTAATACACCTCTTCACTCAAGAAACCAGTGGTTACAGAATATTGGGTTAGAGGAGTAAAAGCACCAATAGCTTTCGCTCCAGGAGGCACAATGGATCAGTTGCCGCCTGCATTACTTTGCGACTTTAGCAGGTGGGGCTACACAAGCAAGCTTCCGCCTTCAGTAACCATGAAGTATAAACAGTATTGGTTAATGATTTCAGTTAGCATGTGATTAAACACACAAGCCCAGACAGCATGAACTTGCATGCTGCATATGGTGTTTGACTTGTACTGGGACAGATCAGGTGCAGCAGTCTCATCAATTAAATACAGTCAGGTGGTTTGGATGTTATGTTCCAACAAGAAATGGAATCTGTCATCATTCAGAAGCAGCACTTAGCGCTAGATTTAGCTCCTGTGCAGACTTCGCAACTGAGCCCCCTCTTCTATAGAAAGCAAAAGGAGCTGGTTATTCAAAAGTCAAATTTAAAAGAAGAGTAAAACACAACCAGAAGATACTCTAACCTCATAAGCGCTGGCAGACATAGCTTAACCCTTTCAAGTTCAATGTAACAAAGGTTGCACCGCTCCAACCTACAGATTTTAACAGAGGCAATAATATCTTATGTCAGATGACCTTTGTCAGTTCCTCAACCGTCAACCCCAATTTTATGTTCTTCATAGTTGTACTTTTTTCCACATCCTCTCTTAGGGATGTTAATGACTCACCATCGTGGACAACACACCACGATCAGTCAAAAACTCAAAGCCCATCCATAAACAAACAGGAAAAAAAGTCAGGCTCATTTAGTTAACAACCAACTCAAATAATATGATGTTTACCTCATTTAGGCTAATGAACAACTCAATTGTATGGGTTCAAAAAAAATTTCATAAGCATTAATAACTTGGCTAAACTCGGTGAGAATTTCAAGGTTTGGTAAAGCAATACTTCGTGTTATGGTTTTGAGAAGACAAAAATTCTGAGTAGCTTATAAGACATCTATATACATACTACCAAAGGCAATACTAAGAGGGACACTTGGGCAATGTATTATAAAAAAATCTTACACAAAATCTAAAGTGAACTTCCTAAAATATCAAACTGCCCATTATAGCTATTACATATTTACATGTGTAATTATTTTATCTCGTGTGTTTTTATAGTTTCAACATATTTCATACTTTTTGATACTTGGGGGAGTAATTTCACTACGTTTTATAAATGTTTTGTTATATAAAAATTTATTATCAGTACAACTATTTAACACCCATGCATTGCACAGGACTAAAACTAGCATGAAAAATCTAGAGGAAAGAACAAAAAATCCCATTCCACAAATCCATTATACCCAAATGTGAAGACCTATGAGTTATAACAGCCTCTTTTGATCCAACATTTAGCAATCTTAGCATGTATAAAGCTCATTTTAACATATTCTTGCCTATAGTTTGACTTAAATTGAACTTAAAAAACCTTAAGTATTAACAAGCTAAACTCAAACAATCAGTCAAAAGCTCGGGTGAGCTCAAGCCAAATTTGAGTTATCCTCAAGAAATTTTGCGAGAAAGGACCTTTTTTAGTAACTTATTTGTAAGAAAAGACCTTACATAATAAAGGTGGCATATTGGGACCCTTTTTTTTCTTTTTCTTTTTCTTTTTTTTTTTTTTTGGTGAAAAGGGACCTTTTGACGGAATACACCATTGACCCAAAATTTCAGGCATTGACTATCACGAGCCGACATTAAAAAAATTAAAAAAAATATATCTTCTTCTTTCTCCTCCTTCCCCTCCACCATAGCACTACCGTTTTCTCTCCTCCTTCCCCTACCCCGTCACCTCCTCCAACCCAACCAGTCATCGCAACAACCGTCAAAACCCTAAACACTACCATATGAAAGCTGAACTACCAATCCCTAGCCATCTCACTAGCCACCACCAACGAAAACAAACCCCACCCACCCTCAAAAACCCTCCCTCCCACCTAAAACCCCAAAACGAAACCATCCTAGCCATAAGCAGTCGATGGTAGCCAAGACTAAGGGTGAGGTGGTTTCGTTATCAGGTGGGTTGGGCCACTGGGGTGGGGTTTCGGTGGGAGTACATAGGATTTCAGGATGGGGACGAGGGCTGACGAAGAATGCTAGCAACGGGAGATGGACAGAAAATATGGAAGGCGAAAGGGAAAGGGTGATAGACAACGCTGGAAATTTTAGGTCAATGGCCGGATTCCGTTAAAAGGTCCCATCTCACACAAAAAAAAAAAAAAAAAAAGAAATAAGGCCCCAATTTGGCACTTTTTCTACGGGAATTCTGAATGGTGACCCTGCTACGCACACATGATGACCCTCTTGAAAATCAATTATACAAAATGGCCTTAGTTAACAATTTTTTCCCACTTATTCCCTGTTCACTTCACCTTAAAAAAAATAACATTAAGTAAAAATAATTTCACTTCAATAAAATTAATTTCAGTTCAGTAAAAATAATTTCAGTTCAGTAAAAATAAGTTCAGAAAGAAGAATTATAATAGAAAATCAGTAAAAATAATTTCAATTCAGCAAAAATAATTTCAATCCGGTAAAATTAATTTAAGTTCAGTAAAATTAATTTCAGTTTAGCAAATATAATTTTGTTTCAGTAAAAATAATTTCAGTTCAGCAAAAATAAGGTGAAGTGAACGGAGCCTTATAACTTTATTTCATTAAATTGTTAATTTAAACTAACTATGGTTAGATTATTTAAAAAAAAACACATTTTTAAAAAATTAACCACCACCAAACATCTACCCACAACACCGCCTCCAACTCCACCACCACCTTCACCAAAACTTTACCACCTCACCTCAGCCTAAACTCTAGCACCACGGCAAAGGACTAGGTCGTCAAAGGAGAGAGGAGTGAGGTATTCAGAGTTCGGGTGGTTTGGGTCTGAGCCGAGGGGAAAGAGAGGGTCTGGGTTATGGTTGGAGGAGCGATTGTCGGTTGGGTTTAGATTTGGGCATGGGAGAGGTCGCAGGAGAGATAAAGGATGTTTGTAGGTTGTGGTGGAAGGATGAGTAGTGGGTTTGGTCTAGTGGCGGGGCGGTTCTTGGTATGGTGGGGAATGTCGGGATGAGGTGAGGAAGAGGGCAGAGGTGGTGGTGGCGGTTAGGAGAGAGGAGGGTCTTTGGCAAGTTAGGGGTTCTGGCGGTGGTCAAGGTTGAGCAGCGTTGCCGGCGGGGGGGGGGGGGGGGGAGCTTGGAGCAGCGTCGCCAGAAGAGGAGATTCTGGTAGCAGGTGAGGTTGGTGATTGGTTTAATTTTTTTTAGTTTTTCTTTTTTTCTTTTTAAATTAATCCAACCATAGTTAGTTTTAATTAATTATTTAATGAAATAAAGTTATAAATGGGATAAAATTCTTAAATAAGGTCATTTTGTATAATCCATTTTCAAGATGGTTACCATGTGTGCATAGCAGAAGTTGGGAGTCAACGTTGAGAATTTCCGTTTTTTTATATATAAGGTCCTTTCACACAAATAGGTCATTAAAAAAGTCCTTTTTTCGCAAATTTTCCTTATGCTTATCAAGCTTTAACTTTAGCTAGAACATGTTTATGTGTGTCAAGGAAATTTCTTTGTACAAAATGACATTACAGAAGCAAAGAACAATATAGCTTGATAGATTTACCCTTTCACTCTTTTAGCACAATAAATTCAGGATAGATGACCGAATTAAAGTAAAATTTCAAAATATAAGTCGCAAGATAGACAAAACTACAAGTCAAGGAAAGAATACCCCACCTTTGCTCTGCCTCAATATCCACACCCACAGAAGATGATGCAGATACTGCAGAATAAATTACTGAACCGAATACTCTCACCAGCTTTACCAGCATATCAAGTGAAACACCTAAATGCCTGAGTATAATCAAGCTGTTAATTTAAAGATCTTCAACAAAAATATAATCATGTTTATTCACTATATATATATAAAAAATAAAAAAAATAAAAAATAAAAAACACCAGGAAACAGAAGAATTGAGACCTTTGCTATATACATTGCTAAAACCTTAAAAATAAATTCCTTTCTAAGGCTACACCACAAAAATGGCATTGCCACCTTGACAGTACATCTTTTCAGGTTATGGCACTTTCTAAGCAATAGATCTTAAGCAACATCACCGAGGTATGTAGCACAAACAATCATATGGCCATATCACGGATATAGGGGTAAACCGAACAATGCTCGTTGGGTTAGGAGATGAGTCATGACACTAAGGTGCCTTAGCTCATAAGGACACTAACAAGGTTACTGTGTCTCATGAATTATCAAGAGAAAAGGCAACTCCATTACAACTATGACCATTTTGTTCCAGCCAAATGGTCCAAATGACGGTCATCATATTACTTCATATTTAGCAACGTCAACTTCTTCTCTTTCACCCTTCAAAAACCATGAACCGTAAGAAAGTTTAAGGAAAATTTGTCAATTACTACCGCAAATTAATACCACTTTGTAAATTACTACCGCAAATTAAAAAAGTTGTGAATTACTACCGCAAAAAATTTTAAGATGTTGCGATTACTACCAAACCCCCATTAAACCCAACTATGACGTCATTATATCACTTTAACCCATGGTTAAAACTCTTAACCATGGTCAAACATGGGTTAAAGCCCTTAACCGTGACGTCATTATATCCCTAACCCATTTTCTTTTTTGGGGGGGCTGGTTAAAGCCCTTAACCATGGTCAAACATGGGTTAAAGGGATATAATGACGTCATAGTTGGGTTTAATGGGGGTTTGGTAGTAATCCCAACATCTTAAATTTTTTTGCGGTAGTAATTCACAACTTTTTAAATTTGTGGTAGTAATTTACAAAGTGGTATTAACATGCGGTAGTAATTAGCAAATTATCCAAAGTTTAATGAAATCTTTACATTTACCTTTAATGAGATTATACATTGGTAGTTTCTGCTGCAGCAAAATTCATTTCTGCTATTTAGTTATAATCATGTAGAAATTATCATTATAACATCAGGTCATAGTCATATGGCTGTTTAGAAAATCTATATATATATATATATATATATATATATATATATATATATATATATATATATATATATATATATATATATATATATATATATATATATATATATATATATAGGTCAAATGAGAAGGATTTTTTGTGCATGATTTTTGTATTGAATGTGCATATTTTTTGAACTAAATGTGCCAAAAAAAAATGACTCAAATTTAATGTGCATAATATTTTAACAAATGTGCATAATTTTCGTTTTTTCAGAAAATTAAAAATTTTACCAGTTTGAAACACAATTATGCACATTCAATATTAAAAAAATTGCACATATAATATAAAATATATGCACATTTATTCCTTCTCATCCTTTTCATTGGATCCCAACCCTATATATATAGGAAAACTTGTCAAAAAAAACATTTTAAAAGCTTCATTTGCAAAAAAAAAAAAACCTTTTAAAAGTTTTTTGGTTAAAAAAAACCACCACGTTCACTATTTTGGCAAGAGGAAACCCATTTCCTTAATTATCCTCTAACGAATTTAATTAGACTCTAAATTCCTCCCATTTCTTCTTATTAACCTCTAATACTCCTAATTACTTAATAATTAGATTACTTCAAAAAAACCATCACCCCTACCCTTCTTCCTCACTTTCCCCCTCCCTTAGAAGCAACCCCCTCACCCACCGAACTGCCGCCCAAATCCCGGCACCTTTGGCGACCTACCTCCATCACCGGTTGACCATCCTTTTCCCTCTAATCCCCGTTGGCGACCACCACCCCCTTCAAATTTTTTGCTCTTATTTACTCAAATATGCTCAAATCAAGTCCAAATTGATTGCAATTTGATTCTAAATCACCCTACCATCACATACATACATACATACATACATAATCAAACCCAAAACAAGTATTAATTGCAAGCAAGATGCACAAAATTTAAAAAATAAATAAAAATAAAAATAAAAAACAAACAAAACAAAAAAAACCAAATCAATTTTCTAGGGTTTTCAAAATCAAGGAGGTGGTTGTCGAGCATTAGGGGGAAAGGGAGGGTTGTCTGACGGTGGAAGAGGTCGCCAAAGGTGGGGATTTGGACAGTGGGTCTGGTGGGGAGGGGGGTTGATGCCATGGGAGGAAGAAGGAGAAAGGAGGAAGAAGGGGAGGAGGAAAGGGAGGAGGAGGGGAGGGGGTGGTGGTTTTTTATATATATTAATTAAATTTAACTATTTAGTAATTCGGTGGATTAGAGGTTAATTAGAAGAAATTAGAGTCTAATTAAGTTAATTAGATCGTAATTAGGGAAATAGCAAATAGGTTTCCTCTTGCAAAAAAAATGAACGTGGTGGTTTTTTTTTAACCAAAAAGCTTTTAAAAGGTTTTTTTTCGCAAAATGGTGCTTTTAAAAGGTTTTTTTTTGACAAATTTTCCATATATACACACACACACACACACACACACACACACATAAGCAATGGGTTTCTACAAAGCATTTTACATCAGAATGACCCTTTTTGGTAGTGCCATGGTGAGGCAACATAGCACCAATCTGCTAATATGCCTCTCCATTTTACAATAATATCACTACTATGAAGACTAATTTGCAAGCATAAAAATTTGCAGCAAGCTTTTTACCTATCTATATCACTTTCAAGAAGGCTTGCAAGTAGTGACAAGAGGCACGTACAAATCTCCAATGTAACAATGTCAGTTTTCTCTGTCAAAAGGCTAACTACATCAGCAATGACCTGCATTACATAGTGAACCTGCTCTGAGCTAAAGAGTTTCTATTTTTTTTAAATGATAAAGTATCTTAGGGAAATAAAAGGAAAAGATAAAGTGAAAAATACATCGGAAGTAGAAAGCTTACACTATGATCAGCCATCTTCTCCATAGCACCTATAGCCCCTTTAACATCATTACGATCCCAAAATCTACGCACTGCCTGAAAAAACATCAGGAAAGGTTAAGCTGACCAAGTAATAAAAATGCTGGCAGAGATACCTCGTTCTTGTTGAGTACCAATAACATAATTGGTGATCTTCAAACTACAAATTGACAAATTTTCTGCTTCCAAATCATCAAAAACTCTCGAGATTTTATCGCCTTTATGACAAAAGATTTGTAAGGCAGTCAAGCATATAGTGATTTTTTGTGAAATCTTATCAGGAACTGCTAATACATAGACCAGACTTAGTCTCCTTTTGATTTCAAAGACTAGAGATGTGAGATCATTAAAACAAAGTATTCTACTATTTCAGTTCAATAGAGAGCAACATAAGAGGCCAAACATTGAGGTAGGCTAATAGTAGTTCTTAGAGGTTTACTTCAAAAATCAAGTTACTTTCCTGTAACCTTTCTGCCATATAATAGTGGGAGAAGGTTGGATGTTTTGAGGCACAAGTTATGGACATGAGATTAGCAAAGAACTAGTTGACGCTAAAATCAAAAGAAGACAACCAGAACAGATAAGATTACCTTTGAATAAGCTTCTATAAACATTACTAAATATAAACATGAAGAAGGAATAACTACCCATGTAAGATTGGGCAAAATCAAGTATTATTGGCTTTTCTCTAAGGCCCTCGATGCCGCCAAGACTTGAAAAGAGGTTAAGGGAAAGGATAAAGAATCAAAAGAGTTATTTAGGATGAAGTCATGAAGATCAAAGAAAGAAATAGAGGTCAGATGAAACAGGAAACTCCTTAATCCAGCAGATTGGAAAGTACACTTCTAAAACTAAACAAAAATTCATAGGAGAAACGACTCATAATAGTTGGACCTTTTGACCAGTAGAGACTCTAGAGAGGTCTTGGGACACTAGATATGCACTACTGCGATTGCAAAAAAAAAAAAAAAAAAAAAAAAAAAAAAAAAAAAAAAAAAGAAACAGCAAAATACTATTATACATTAAAGTTGTTGCACTTGAAAAACAACTAAGTTAATTATCTCTCCACCCTAAAAAAAGAAGGCATAAAAGAATGTACAAGTAAATGCCCAATACTATATTAGGTTTTAAAATTATTCCAAATTTCCAACTGTTCATGTTTTTTCTGTTCTGCATCAAAAACAGCAAAAACTACTTTCTCCTGAGAGATATTGTGATGACTAAGCCATGGTTGACTGATCAGTCCATAACTTAAATTTAGGGTCTAGCATCTAGGTACATAGTACTGATGCATGAACTGCTATTATGAAGGAAATTACCAAGCCAATAAAAGTTAAATGTTGGAAATTGAGATACAGCCCCCAGCTATGAACTCCCATTCCAAGAGGATAAAAAGGATGTGCATCAAACAACTCCCCTCCATTATTTACAATGCCAATTTTCTCACCTGTCACTCAACAGAGACTTACATGCTGGTTGAGGTAACTTTAGCAATTTAAGACTTACATTAGAAAACACATGCAGGTAATTTCTCACCTGTGCACTTCATATTCTTGAAACTTCTTTCCCACACACCCCCATTTTCCAGGTTTCCAACAAGACCCATGAAAAAATAATGATAATAAAGACTTTGCCACTATGTTTCAGACTATGCTAAGGGTTAAGTTGTTATCAGCATAACTTTTCTTAGCTTCCAGTTTATCCTAGACACCAATAAATTCAGATGTGTTCAAATAATGGAGGAAGAAAAAGAACCAACTTGCCAATTTTATAAAAATAAAAATAACTAACAAATTTTTAAAAATAATATAAGAAAAAAAAATTAATTTAAAAAAAAATAAAAGGGAAACAGAAGGTTCTGGTAGATACCTGTAATTTACCCAGACGTGATTGCATAGAACAAAGAAAATGATCGTGCCTTCCAATAATCTGGGCAATAATATCATCATCTGTGACGGAACTCACTGAAGGCATGTCTTTTTCAGTCGAATGAGAATTTCCCCGCGGCTTAGATTTCTGTGGATTATCACAAAATATATAGAGATTACTACATTTGTAGAAAGCAGATGACGAATATTTAATACCATAGGCGGAAATGAAATTCACATAGTTGCACTCCCTTTGTTTCAAAAAGAAAGTTAATTTATCCACCAAATAAAGAAAAAGAAAATGGAGGGAAAAAAAAAACACTTAAAAGAAGCAATGAAAAATCTGCAAGAGAATGAGACTCAATAGGATGTCAAGCACAGGAATATTTACATCCTTTTGAGGGAAGAGAAACAGATGTATTCCAGACCAAACTCTAAACAATCCAATGTAGCACTCATTCTCAAAATACAATATGCAATCTGCTAAACGCCTAATCCAATTTCACAAACAAAACTTTACTAAGATATCTCCTTGTCAGTGAAATTAAAGAACTTGTACATTTGTACCTTCCCTTCCATAATAAAAAAAAATAAAAAAAAAAAAAAAAAAAATAGATACTAACAAATAGAGCTTAAAAATACCTACATACTCCTGCCAAGAGAGAGAATCTATAAACACAATGACATTGTACATTTATCAGTATTCAAATTATACAGATGATCACCAAATGACCATTAAGTTATCACTGTCTGAAATTCAATCTGGTTCTAGCTTGGACAATGTTGTGGATAGCCATTAAAGTGTGCATTTTAATAGGCTGGAAAACAAACATAAGAAACCACTTTGCGTGGAATACAAGCACATATATTCATAATGTAGTAAGATTCTAAACTCATGGAAGTCTACCTCTGCATGTGCTCTACTCCCTACTGTTTAAACCAACCTTAAAAACTGAATAACTAACTTTAATTTTGCTTGATAACAGGAATATCATGGCTCAGAAAACAGTATATTTTAAGTGGTAAAGCTGTTCATAATAAAACAATATTCCCCGAGTCTTAGTTCGAAATTAAAAATCACCAAAAAAGCAGATTAAAAGAAAGGCATTTTCCTTTTAGTATGTTTGTTCTCTGCTTGGGAAACACCGCCAACCCACCCACCCACCCACTTTTTTCTCTCAATTTAATCATTGTACCCCAAATTACTGTTCAGTTTGAGCAGGGATAAAAGGAATACTAAAGTCTCAGAACCTAAACAATTACAATAGGAAAGAGATAATATAATCATAGACATGCAATTGAAATTATCCAATAAAGTATCAGAGCTAATGCCACAATGTTAAGAATACCAAGCAGTAGCCATAGAAAAGCATATGAAAGAAAAGGCTGACAGCATAAGGGATCATGGAGAGCATACCATCTTAATAGGGCGTGAGTCAACAACACAGCTTGCAATAGAGGTACTGCTGGTAGTAGTAGGATCTTCAGAAGAGGGGGATATTTCTCTATTCTCCCAGTTTGCAACCAATGAGCGGGTTCTTCCTAGTTCATGTAGAAATGAACACAAAATTCAGATATACAGATACCATAAATAAGGCAATCCAGAACATCAAAAAAAAGAAGAAATTATCAGGGATCAAGGCAATACCAGCACGTTCTGTGGAACCGGCATCTTTACTAGTTTTAGATACTCGAATTTCAACTGGAAAGAAAATATAAGGCAAACAATCACTTAAATTGTCATAACTGCGGGAATCAGAATTTGATTTTCTGGTTTTATACATATCAATCATAAGTTTGAAATTTGTTACTTCCACAGTTTCTACAATTTAAGAGTCAATCTTAAGACCCTACAACATTTTCTAATACATGATATTTTTATACTGCTTCAAAACCTTGAAGTTCCCTTTCAAGGCCTCTATGCCTTAAAAAATTAACACCATACATGAGCAATCCCTGTTACTCCCAAATCACTCATTAATTCGCCATCCTCAATCCTGACACATGAACGACACTTATAAATGCACATTTAACAGTTGAGATTCTGCTTAGAAATTGGGAGGCTAAATTCCTTATTCAAAACTTGAAAAGCTTGAATGATTGCAGGTAAAATAGCACAATCCTAGTCAATGATGAGAACACTGAGCAAACGATCCTATATTTATACCCAAAACTCCAAAAGGTATTATATACTTGGGAATAAGACTTTCTTGAATAACACTAAGCTCCAAATCAGATCAGATCAGGAAGCAAAGAGCATAAAAGGCTCAGAAGCAAATTTCTCACTGGGCCCAATGTTCTTTCCATGGGTATCTCAGGAAGTCAGGATATATCATATAATAGACTACTATATTTTCAGAACTTTCAGGAATCTGATGAAGGATAGAGAAAAGAAACCTTGACAAAAAATGATATGATTTTCATAAGTGTTTAAAAATGGTGTCAAGTGAGCTTCAACCACAGTAACACTGAGCAGGAAAGCTAATTCATTTAGCTCCACATAATGGTTTTCTACACATCTGCAGTCAATCCCACCATACAGAAGGACCACAGCTGAGACACAAGAATGATCGTATCAGGACAGAAGGACCAATGCAAACTTGCTACTTGCTAGAGTACAAACTAGATACATCATAACTTTCACATCTTACCCGACCAGTTGAATAGCACCACCTTGCTTCACTGTTGTTTACTGTGTTACAATGACTCATGGAAAAGATTCGAAGATGGATAAAAAATTAAGTGTCTAGCACTAGATCCCCAAATGAAATGTTATGTGATAAGTTGCCATGAGCAACAGATGCGCCGATTAGAACGTGATGTAGTAGATTAATTCCTCACTAGGTCAATTCAAGCCAAAGTTATCAAACTCATACTTGATGTGGTAAATTAGTGCATTAATATAAAAATATTACAGGAAGCTATCAGAGAACATACAATTGTCAAGCGGAGAGCTGGTAAGAGGCTGTGATGAGGAATTAGATTCAACCTTCATAGAGCCGACACATCTATCCTCTTTCAGGTTCCTCTCCGTAACAGGTTGACTAGTATTCAGGTTTCTGGCAGCAAGTAACATACTCTTGTTAGCAACTCCGCCCATTTCTGGTGCCTTAACAGCTGTGTTTTCAGGTTGGGCGGTAATAGTTGGCCCATCAAATTCTTCAGTTGCGCTTGAAAACCTTCTCGACTCAGAAGACTTAGACTGTGAAGGATGAGGAACAATTCTCCTGGAAAATACTTCCCTCTTGAATTCTGCTTGCTCTAGTCTTGCATCATCTCTTGGGACAATTATGGGCACAACATCAGGTTTACTGTTTATAGAAGCATTTGGCATTGATTGTGTTTTTGAGGAATTCCTTTTCTGAACTACCGCTGTAGGTTGCAGTGTGTTTCTTGGACTAGTGCTCATATTGACTCGCTGAGGGGTGCTAGGTATACCACCGGGATCTAACAGCAAACATAACCAAAAGGAAAACGAGTCAGCATCATATCTCTGAACAACAGCATTTGAGAGCGCAATATACCTAAGAGAGGAACAGAGGTAAATAAAGAGGACAGTCTAGTGAATCTGTTGACATACTTGGAGAGACTCTGGAATCTTTATTTGGCTGGTTTGAGTTTGCCAAATGCCTTCCTGAAGGTTTTGTTTCTTTTTCTGCTAAATCTGAATTATGTGATGTTGATAGCCGGCCTGATCCAACCTTAGCAGGGTTTTCGTTTTGTAATGACAAATTACCAGATGAAGCAGACTTCAATTCAGAATGTCCATTGGAGCGCGTACGAACTGAATATGGCTCTATCCGCTGAAAACAAAGTAACACAATGTACAAATCAATTAACTGTAAATCAAAATTAGTTAACCAACCTCCACACACACACACACACACCAAAAAAAAAAAGGCATACACAGTCCACTAGATATATTGATTTGATTATAAATTCACTTACCGAGATGTCAACTACCCAAACTCCAACACAGCTCTGATTATAAGAGCAGCCAAGAAGCTTTCCCTCATGCACATTCAGATCTGACAACCTAGACCATCCAACATCCACGGTATCGTGGCAACGAATCGGTTCCCAAGAAAAAACCTACATTGTGGGATTAAAAGATAAATCAATTTGGCATGTAATTATTAAAAACAAAAATCCCCAAGTTTCAGTTATTGCCAGCAAAAATAGGGATGGATAAGTACCTTTAGGCTTTCATGTAATCCACAGAGCAGGGTCCTCCCATCAGGATTAAAGGCCATACAACGCACTCCTGATGTCTTATGGGCACAAGATAAATTCAACTAATGAGTGACTCGACATCAGAAACTGAGTAACATGAAATACATCTATAAGAAGTCAAAGCCTGATTAAGCATTATTTGGAATTTTTACCTCAGGTCCTGCTGAACCAATTAGCTCAAAAGTCTCAAGGTCCCAGAATTTGACTGTTTTGTCAGAAGAACCTATGCAAGACATAAGCAAAGTTGATACAAAGATCAGCACACAGATAACACAAAGGGGAGAGTAATATTCAGTTAAGTTCATGTGTATACAATACAAACATCAGAAAAATATATTGACATGACTCTTTATGGAAAAGATACAATACAGACCAAATGGGTAGATACTAGATACAAGTCATACAACCAATGTCAACTTTTATCTCAAAGCCATATACTGATGTGTTGAGTAGCTCATTACAAATACTGAATTACACTTCCTATGTTACATAAATATTGCAACATGTAGGAATTTACACTTCCCAATACACAGCTTTTAATCACTTGTATCTTCAATTATATTCTAAGTAATATAATAAAAATTGATATTTTAAAAGTATCTATCAAGACAAATGTAACAAGATCCCACATGATTCCTTTCCCCTTTGTATAAATCATAATACATGATTATATGGGAGTATGTGAATAGCTAAAAAGCCCATATGATAAAAATATATGTGGAATGGAGGACGTATGCTCAAGGACATCTAATTCATTAAAACCCACTCTTGGTTATATTTCATTATTTCATCATGACCCTCTAACATGAAGCAATAATACAATAAAAATGGACCTCTATAAACTTTGATCCCCATACAGACTTATGATACGCCTATTTAATTATAAAAGAAACTTTGTGCCATAAATTTGAAGTTTCATGTGAAATCTTTTACAGACACTCAATCCACTTTCATCTATTGTTTTAGCTCTTAATCTAAAACTTTGTTGAAGAAAAGTTGAAGCTATGCAATATCAATATTTCTTTCAAAGCTACTCTAACAAAAATCAACAGATTTAATGCTAGAAAAGAAAATTGATATTCAGCTTAAAGGAAGCGTGATGAACCTGTAGCCAAAAGGAACTCATGCGGATGGAAATCTATGCATTGAACCTGCCCCTCATGAGACTTAAACTCATGTAGTAGTTTGCCGGCCGTAAGGTCCCACAGCTGTCAAAGAACGGCATCATTATAAGGACTGTGTACTCTGCTTCTTAAACAATTCACATAAGTAAACAGGCAAGTAAATCTATGGGATAAATGCACTCTAATTGAATTGATTAAACAATAATAACTGCAGAAAAAAAAGCAAAAAGAGGTAAACAGTTATACTGTCTCCAAACTCTCCACCCAAAATAACTACTACCTCCGATTCGTATTATTTGCAACTTTGATGTATTGTTTATGAGACATAAAAATTTCCAAAGTTGCATATAATACGACCCGGAGGTAGTACTACTTTTTCTTTTACATGGGTACAGGATACCAATTAATTTACATGTTTTAAAATGACAATATATGAAATTAGCTTTTGTCATGCTACAATTACACAAAGATCTTTCTTTCCCTATACAATGTGGCATTTCGAAAAACAAGTTACAATCTTTTAGATAGGTTTAAAGATATTTATAAAAAAATAATAAAAAATCTAAAAAAAAATAAAGCCAAGCAAGGGTCATCTTAAGGTTAAAAGTGTGCCCTCAAGCTGTTATGATAACAATTTGTCTACAAAATAAAGAAACATTAAGCTCCCCAAAGATTTCAATTTAGCCAATTAATAGCCTCAAAAATAAGAACTTGAACTCTTGATGCGTGCAAACTCCATCCTTAAAATCTAATGCTTTCTTTTTCTCCAAGAGCACCACCACATTGCCAACAAAACCATCCCCATAAATCAGCAATCCAACCTTTCTTCCTTTTTATTTTACATGCCAGAGAAATATCATTGGCAAAGATACCCAACTCATCCCAAACAAAACTGAGGATAAAAATCAAACAAAGATGATTAACTCTTCCTCCTCATGAAATCAACCAAGCAAATGGAATAGAAAAACCATAGGCATATTGAATATTGGTACTATATCAAGTCATACAATATAGTAAAGCTATGGCTCAAGTAATAAAGAACTTAGGTAAACCAACAGTTATCAATATAGCACCTCCGGAGCTTCCATCATCAGCAACTCATAACTGTTTCACAGGCTTTGCAACTTGAGAGTAGTTGATAAGGCTTGTGTAACTTTCTAATCTAAAAACCAAACAAGAGTAAGGCCCCCCAAATCTTTCTTATCTTGGGCCAACTAAAGCTATATGTACAGCTACATTAGCAGGTTTGTTGGTTTATTCCCTTTATGTTTTGGGACAAACTAAGAGATATTTACTCCCTTCGTCCCACAAAAAACTTCTCATCTCTATCAGAAACATATTGTTAAGAGGATGTTGGTTGTGGGGTTTTGTTTAGTACAAGTGGATAAAAATAATAAGGTAGTGAGTACTGTTTACTGTTTTTAAATGGAAGTGCAAAGCGGGAACCATAACGCTTTAAGGGGTTAGAAAGAAGCATTACTGCATTAAATATAGCCTTTCCCTCTTGCCACATATTTCTAACTCCCCAATTACTTGATAAGTGCTGTCATTTTCAAAATCTTTGAAGTAAGCATTGATTTTGTTGGTGATATAACTCCACATTTTTATTTTTTTTATTTTTTTGTTCAATATAGCTCCACATTGTTGATTGGTAACAATCAAAACTACTTTAGCCACTTAGCCCTTTAAATTTGTAAAACATTTATCAGAATTCTGGGAATCTGGGTGCTGCATTCCATATTGAACTATGAGTAGAACTTTAGCACTTCAAAAAAACCACCGCCTAAATATTCAGCTCTTGAAATCAAGACTTTAAAAGCAAGTTAAGGATATATATCATCAAATAGCATTTAAGAGCATTGTTTTATTGTTGACACATAAAAGAGGAAGTTCTCAAAGTCTTGGAATATATGTAGAGGTAGACAATAATCGCGAAATGTGATTAAAGTACAATATCATGGTTGGTGCCAATCCGTATCTTAACCACAATAGAAAAAAGTTTCTGCAATATCTGTTGCTAGATTAGCATGCGATTAAGTTCAATCAATGTGTCATATGAAGACCATTGATGGACCTACATGCCTAAACAAGCATGGTAACAACATCCTTAAATTTACAAGAAATAGCTAAATTCAGTAAAGCAAGAAAATTGTTCAATTAATTCAATATTGCAAGTTGCAACAATGAAAGGAAGAATAATAAAAGTGTAAAAATTGTCAGGTTGACATTATTTAGTATCCCATCTGAAAATTCCTACATCTTCCAATGTGTGCGACAATGAAAAACAAAACAAATAAATAAGGTATGATGATCATAATTTACTCTAGACGCGGGGAAAAAAAAACACTTAGATAGTCACTAGTCTCACTACTCACTAGAAGCTAGTATTATGAAGTAAAAGAGGCAATCACACTATACTGCAACTACACTATAATTTTCATAAAGACAATTCTAACCTTGACAGTGTTGTCCTCACCACCAGATACAACCCAGCGCCCATCCGGTGTAAATCTAATGGCATTGACCCCTCGAGTGTGGCCTTTGTAAGTGTGAATGCAACCTTTCCTTCTAATGTCCCATATCTTTAAATTTGTATCCAGAGATCCAGATGCAAAGAACTCCCCAAATGGATGGAAGTCCACAGATATACAGTTGGATCTATGGCCCGTAAGTGTTCGAACAACTAAAAGAAATATATATTAATTTCAAATAGATAAGAGCCTCAAAAACAAATACAGAGACATTGAAAATGCAATGTGCCTAATTACAGCTGGTATACATACTCTTTGCTTCTTCTAGATCCCAAAGCTTGATTGTTCCACTTGCTGCTCCAGCAGCGACAAGAACTTCTGAAGAATCAAAACCTACTGAGTCAATTCCACTTGAGTGACCTGACAAACTCTGCATGAGAAGTCATAGTTACAAAAGGATGACAAATTTCAACAAATTATGAACCACAGGTATTTGAGAAAAACAAGTGCATTCAATATACGTCTGAGAAGCCTCTTCTTATTTGTAAGATTGTCGTGATACTTACAACAAAACTACACTTGAGCTAACTCTCTGGAAGAACCATAGCCGCCAACTCTCCCCATCTTTTTTACAAATTAAAGAGAAAGGAACAACAAAAAAAAAGTACCATATACCACGTAGCATCCCCATGTTTTCTTCTTTAAATGATGAAGTTTTTTTATAAGCAAGAAAAATGTTCAACGCCACAAAGGAACTTAATATGATCAATGAAAAACAACTACTAAAAAATTTGAGAAAACTTAAATGCCTAAGTGGATATCTTCTATGCCACTTTTCCAAACAACATGTACAACACTCCAAAGTTCTCAGTTACTTTCCCTTCACAAAATCGACATAAAGGCAAGAAGTAAATTGATTCTGGCCAAGTCATATGCTTCTTGATACTTAAAATAAGTTTGTATTGTTAGTCTGAAACAAGTTTACCAATTCCGGCAGCATCACAACTCCACCCTGTAATTCTATGAAGCGTGGCTGGCACTTAAACAAAACTAATAAATGTTCTTTTCCCCTTATTTTCCTCTGTTTTACCTTTAAGGCAAAAATTCCTTCTGTGTAATCTTAATACTCCAACCCCCCCCCCCCTTGAACAAGACTGTTGAAGTAAAAGCAAATATACATGTTGTCGATGTTGAAGCTGAATGAACTAACCAATATGGCATTGGGTTTTCCAATGGCCCAAAGATTGACTTTGTGGTCTTCTCCTCCAGTGACTAAAACCCTTGACGACTTCCTTCCAATTTTCAGGCAATTGACAGCGGAAGTATGCGCTACAAATTCCTCTGTAACCAATTCGTTAAGGAAACAAATCCAAAGACACGATACATAAAAATAAAAGAACCATCGTTGGACAATGTAGTACAGAAACAGGGAATATTAAACGACTTAGGACACTGATCAAGTAATTAGGGCCACAGTTTCCAAGCATTGACTAAAAACTCTCATAACTCAGAAAATTAACAAAATAGTCCAAAGAGTAAAGTAACAATCGTATAAGAACGAAAAGGATACGTAGCTTATAAGCACGTTTGGTCGTCATGAAGGCGAGGCGGGAAGATTTAATCTATGACACCACTCACCAGTATAAAAACCTTGAAGAAGTTCCGTCTTGGGTGGACAGGACAGTTGCTGTTCATCTTACAGACCTACCCATTTAGATCTCCCCCAATTCAGCAGCAATGTATGTCCTCTTTTCCCCTTAAAATTAAACATTATACTAAAATCAATCAGCATAATATTATTATTATTACTATTATCATTATAAATATTAAATATATATTGTTTGGAGAAACGGTCCATTTTCATGGTTTCATCCTGACATTGAAGAGTTATATGAACCAAAGCCTGCAACACATTATCAACCAAAGTTGACTCAATTTATCAAAAAATAAGTTGAACTCCTCTTAATTTAATTTAAGTATATAAAATTATAAATAGCAAAATTGTAGCAATAAGATCGCTCGTTATAATCCTTCATAACTTGAGTTTTTGCAACCAATTGCTCAATAATCAGCATTTGAAGAACCCTAATTTGAGTAAGTGACAATTAAATTAAACGATAAAAAAAATATCTTACCTCGGGAGCTGCTTCAATGGAGGAGATAGAGCTCACAAGCCACTACAATGGAGGAGATAGAGCTCAGAAGTCGCTTTAATGGAGGAGAAAAAGCTCAGAAGTCGCTTTAATGGAGAATACACAGTACGCTTCAATGGAGGAGAGAGAAGAGGTGCAGCGCAAACGTGAGGAAGAAATATAGATCTAGGAGGAAATGAGGAATAGTGATGGCTCTCAAAAAAAAAAGAAACACGCCTATAAAACTTGAATTCAAATTATCAAATTCATATTAATTTCACTTTTCCATTGAAGTTTATGAGGGGAATTAGGAAAAATTGAAAAGAATAATCCCACTTTTCACCCATTTGCTCAAAATAATTCCACCTCGTCAAATTTCAAAAATAATCCCACCTTGTAACCCCATCTCCCCAAAATGAACCTTTTACCGGTTTGTGAAATTAGTAACCTGTTGTAGAAGGTGACTTGACACTTGTCACCTTCTAATTGGTCCTAACTTTAAATAATTAAAAAAACAAAATAATTAAAAAAAAATTAAATCTCTCCCAACCCAAGACCACCATTACAACCCCTGCCACCACCCCTTTATCGCCACCATCACAACCCCCTCCCACCACCCCTTTATCACCACCATTACAACCCATGCCACCGCCTCTTACCACCATCACAACCTGAAATCCCCACCTAACCCTGAACCCGAAACCCTAACATCCCTGAACCTGAAGCCCCGCCAACCCTGAACCCGAAGCCCCACCTAACTGGGAGGAAATGGAAGTCGGTCAGCCTCTAGATCGATAGCGAAACATCCACCTCCCCAACAACCCACGAAAACCACCTCCACCCCCGATTTAGGCTGATTTGTGGGTTGAGTTGCAAATTCTAGAGCTATTTTTGTTCAAATTGGAGGCTATTTAGGCTGATGCGATGTCGGTTCTCGTGATTGTTGGCGTGAAACACCTATACGGCGTGAAATTGGCGTGAAAGTACTAAACGACGTCTGAGGACTGAGGTAGTGGGTGTTATACGGCGGAGAGGCATAGGGTTTGCGGTTGTTCGGTAGCTGGTGGTGAACAGATTGGTGGCGCAACGCCGCTGGTTGCCGTGGTTGGTTGTTGCGAGGTTAGGGATGGTGGAAGTCAGGTGGTGGTGAAGGGGGTGGGAATGGGAATAGGTTGGAATTAGGATTTTGGGAGGAGGTCAGGTGGTGTTGTGGAGGTGGTTATGGTGGTTGACATGGATGCAGCTATGGAGGGGGTGAGGTGAGAAAAGAGAGATTAGAGAAAAATAAAAATAAAAAATATAATTTAACCTGTTTTACAAGTTGAAGGTAAAAAGGTTCATTTTGGGAAGATGGGGTTACAAGGTGGGATTATTTCTGGAATTCGACGAGGTGGGATTATTTTGAGCAGATGGGTGAAAGGTGGGATTATTGTTTTCAATTTTTCCTTTAAATTTTTTAATCATCAAATATTAATTTCACAATCTAGCTTTATTGTTAATTTAAAAAAGAAGATTGATAATAAATAATAATAATAATAACAATAATTAGTGTTCCTTTCTTTAAAAAAAATAATAAAAAAAATAAAAAAATATTGTTCCTAATTCTTTCCAAAAAAATAGTGTTCCTAATCAAGTGAAACTCTTTATGAATTATAACTTATAAGTACTAAACTAGTTTGTGATCTGGGCAATACCTCGGGTTATGTTTTTTTTTTTGGTGCATAAAGAGAGATCAGGGATCTCAGAAATGAAAAAACAAAATTAATAAATAAAAAGCCTAAACAGGAATTAAATGTGGCAAGGCCACCCCAACTATGTCATCATGTAGAATTCGACCTAAATCAATAGGCGGGAATTGAATCAACTCTAAGTGGTTGTTCTGAACGACACCTTGGTTAGCTAGCCAGTCTGCAGCTCTATTTGCTTCCCGATACACATGATGAACCTCCACCTGCCATGAATCTACCTCTATTAGCTTCTTGCAATTGTTGATAATGTGGTACCCCTGTCCTCTTTGTTGGTCAGTAGTAGTGATGGCTGCAATGACTGCTTGACTATCCAGCTGTACTTGTAATTTTGTTGCACCCATCCTTTTTGCTAGTTCAAGCCCATACTCAATTGCTTTAAGTTCTGCTATAAAAGCAATACAAGCCCCTAATTTAATTGCAAAAGCATGGATTAGCTTCCCAGTGTAGTCTCTTATAAGCCCTCCTCCCCCTGCTATTTCAGGGGAGCCTTTGGCTGCTCCATCGGTGTTAAGGGCCAGCCAACCAATAGGGGGAGCAAGCCATTTCACAAATACTTCATTCCGTCGAGCAGCTTGGTTAGGGAGATGGTCAATATGCTCTCTGTCATTCAGTAGACGCCAGGTTTCTTCGAATTTTCCAAGGAGAAATTGCTTAATATCAATCGGATTATCATGTGTTCTAAGACAACATTATTTCTCCATTTCCATATCCACCAAAGTGCAATTGTGAAGTAGGTTGGCCAAATTTCAGGAGAAAGATCATTCCTTATTTGAACCTTAATATTCTGGTCAATCCAATGCTTCAGATTGCCGATGAAAAACAAAGGTGAAGAGGCTGGCCCTCCAACCTGTCTCTAGACCTGTCTGACTGCTCTACAATCACGAAGGGCGTGCAGGGTAGTCTCTTCATAAGAATTGCAGTTGGCACACCAAGGAACATTAGATAGGTTTCGCTTTACTCGATTGGCATTAGTCATAATTCTGTCGTGCATTGCCAACCATAGAAAAACTTTTGCTCGTTGTTGAACCTTAATTTTCCAAATAAGATTCTAACTTCCATCATTTCCTACATTATCATCCTTTCTAATAATTGTCAAGGCAGATTTAATTGTAAATTTGCCTCTAGAGGAACTTCTCCAATATAAGAGACCACCCACTCCATTATTTTCCTTCAAAGCGTGAGCTTCAATCAGCAGTAGCACATTGGCAGGTAGTAAGTCAGCAAAAATTTCCCACTTCCACCCATTCTCTGCATCCCAAAGTTCAGTGACTGTAGCACCATCAATTTCAGTAGGAATAGTATCAATTGCAACATCTCTTAAAGGCTTGGGCATTGCCCAATTATGATCCCAGAATAGAGTTGTTGTTCCATCATTAATGTCGACTCTCGAGCCTATGCTAATAAGCTTAGCATTATCTGAGATGCCCCTCCACACATTTGACATATTAGTCTTGGGTTCGAACATATCAATATCACATCTTCCTTTGCAGTATTTTGCTCTTAAAACACGCGCCCACAAAGCATTCGACTTCGTTAGTACCCTCCATCCAAGTTTTGCTAGGAAAGCTGCATTGATTTGTCTTGCCGAACGTATACCCAGGCCCCCTTTTTCTTTAGGTTGATGTATACATTCCCAGGATAATAGGTGGATACACATGTGTTCCTCATCTCCACCCCAAATAAATCGTCTAACTCTTTTATCTATGTCATCACAGATGAACCGAGGGATCTTTGCCATTTGCATGGCATAAGAGCTCATGGTGGTAAGGGTAGTGGTAGCTAGAGTTATTCGTCTAGCCAGGGAGATGTATTTAGATTTCCACCCCGCAAGGCGTCTATCAATTTTTTCACAAAGATATGCAAAAGTATCTCGAGTCACCCTGCTAGTTAGAGTTGGCATACCTAAATAGGTTCCCAAATCCTCTGTTTCATCAATGCCGAGTGTATGATATATTGGTATAATATCCTCCGTTTTCATATTTTGTGAGAAGTATACTCGAGACTTTGGATAGCTAACCTTTAAGAAAAATGCACTACAAAATAAGGCTAAGCATTCCTGGATTATCACAGCTTGCTCCACCGTAGCTTCAGCAAAAAGTATGATGTCATCCGCAAAACACAAATTTGACAATTTTGGCCCATTCCTACTAGCATATATCGGCTTCCACATATTACCAATGATAAACTCCTCAATAAGTTGATTAAGCCTTTCCATGCACAAAACAAGAGATGTAAGGTGATAAGGGATCACCTTGGCGTATTCCTCTTCCCGGTTTGAAATCTGGAGTCGGTTCACCATTCCAAAGAACCCTCATTGAAGAAGTTGTGATGCATTCCATTATTGTAGGGAATATTTCAAGCATTAATCCCTAGCTTGAACCCCACTGTGATCATACACTAAAGTACGGTGACATCCAAAGGGAAAGAAGATATAGCAAAAGAGTCGCCATCAAGTTTTAGGAACTTGTAAACCGTTCACAGGGTGAAGTTACACCCCTTAACGATCCAAGAGATCGTCAACTCCAATAGGTCTGGAACCATGACTAATAGTTCAGGGATAAAGGTACAAATCCAACCTAAAAGAGATTGATCCTTCCCTAATAATAGGCCTCTACTTTATTTTGATCGTATTCATGTGCGCTTTCTGACTAACATACAATCAATAGGATTAACCCTAAACCTGTTTATCTATGTTGGTTGAATATTAATGCACAAATAAATCTATTATTGGCGATCACTTGAATTATAATCATATTAACCCTAAACAAGATTATTAATTATCTTATTAAGCGTGATTACAAGTACAAATATCCTTTAACATGCATAAAAGGTGTGATCAAGCAATAACAATAAATAAGTATCAAGAAACATAATAATAATAATCATCATAATAATAATTATAACAATCATAAAATTATAATCATAATCAAAACAATTATAAAAATAATCATGAATCATGTTAAAGCATAATAATAGAAAAATCCTAGGCATGATACTAACAAGATTAATAACAAACCCTAGCATGTCACTAAACAATAAAAATCAAAACTTTAGCCCTAACATGATACTATTAGGAAAGACAATAAAAGGCATCATAGAAATCATAGTTGATACAAGCAAATCACCCTAAATATCATACTAAAGAAAGCATCCTAACATGATACTAGGAACATCCTAAACATGATACTAGGAATCAATAAAACATCCTAACATGATACTAGGAAACAAAATAACAATCTAAGCATGATTTCTATATCATAAAATCAATGCAAACAATTAAAGCACTTATTTGGATGTCTCGTACCTCTTTTTAATAATAAAATACACACGTTAGTAACTTCAAGGAAAATAATAAAATCAAAACAATTAAATTAAATAATTGAAATAGAGATTTGGGACCAAACCCTCAGAAATTAAAACCTTTCACGTCTAGGGCGAAGGCAACTTCGAATATGGCTAGGTGTATCTAGGTCTTGTGAATGCGAAATTTTGTATTTTGAGAAAAGGCTAGTTTAGAAAAGTGAGAGAGAGAGTAATCAAGAGAATCTTGATGAGAGTTGGTGAATGAAAACGGAGTTTTTAGAAGGCTATTTATAGAGAAAATCAGCCAAAAATATAAAAAATCAAAACGGAGTTCTGACGCGTAAAACGAGGGTTAGTGCCTGGCGCTGACATTAGCGCCAGACGCTAATGCTAATGCCATGCGCCAGGCTTAGCGTCAGACGCTAATGCTGACGTTTGGCGCTAACTTAATTATTGACGCGTTTTCTAAAATCAGATAGAAATTGACCGTACAGGAGCATAAAATCGTATTTTCCTCAAAACATTCTTTTATTCTGATTAAAAAGTCAACTTATCAATGCTAATTGAATTAGGAATGAAAAGAACCTTTTAGAAGAATCTAGAAGACTAAAACCATTCCTAATTGCATTAGGAATGATAAATCTATATTAGGCCCTCCTCTAGATCATTGGGCCGCATATGAGGCTCAAACCGGGCCCAGTTCAGTAATTTGGCCATAACTTCCTCAATATTCATCGGAATTGGGCTTATAATATAACATTGGAAAGCTCTTTTCAAGCCCTATCCAACTACACTACTATTAGACCCATATCATGGACCAACCAAACTGGATTGGCTGTTTTCTTAAAATAGGTTTTAAAAAATAGAGAAAAGAGAAAAGAAATTAAAACTATCCGCAGCACTAAACTTTTCACACTTTCACTTCATTCGATTATGATTCGACGTGAAAAATACTCATCACTGGGTTTGGTTTTGGGGAGACACAATTGGGTGTCTACAATTATTAAACCTGTTATTAGAGGGGAAATTGAATTTCATAAAGGGTGTCCTTGATGAAATCCCATCGTAGCCTATCATAGGCTTTCTCAAAATCAATCTTGATTGCCATAAGACCCTTTCCACTTCTCTTATTTTTCATAGTGTGGATCACTTCTTGAACAATGACAATATTATCTGTAATCTGTCTCCCCGGAACAAAACTAGTTTGAGTGCATGATGTTAAATGGGGCATCATCGGTCGGTTAACAATGGCCTTTGTAATTATTTTATA